CCCAATCTCTCGTATTTTACGGTTGAGAGAGCCATATGAAATAATACTGCTTGTATCTGCGAAACCATTAAAAATTTTCAAATACTTTAAATACAAAAAATGTTCTTTTTTAATTCTCCATCTAATAAAAAAATAATATATAGGGTGTTCCATTTAAAAAACCAAAGAAATATTAGTTTATACTTTATAAAGTTTGACGTAGAATTTTGAACATCCTGTATGATTTAAGATTACTTTATTTACAGCAAAGTAAGCATAGGCCATCTAAATTAAATATCTATTATAGTTTTGATTTCAGCACAGTGCATGTATTTGTAATAATTTTTTTTAATGATCATTGAAAAATATATATTTTTTATTTATTTATTAATAGCTCTGAAACTATCAAAATATATTTATTCATATCTTAGGATTATGTAAAGTGGTCTGAAAGGAAGCCAAAAATGCAATAATATACAGGGTGTTCTATTTAAAAAAAAATATTATCGATCTAATCAAACTTTTTTCAGCCCCCCTGGAGAAGTTAAAATATTTTCCTGAAATTCACATCCTAGTACATACTTTAGGTTTACACTAAAACAAAATTCCCAAGTTTTTTATTCTAGAAGCTACAGATGCCCAACGCACTATTGCCGGACCCTGTATAACTCAGTTGTTTACGGTATTCTCCTATGTTGGCAGCCCTTGCCGGAGAATGCACCACACCTACCTATGGCGTCAAAAATAGTAATACATAAATCATAATATTTGATTAATTATTGTGTCTATTATAGAGAGAATGAATATAATATATTTAATTATAGAAATATATTAATTATTCTAAAATTGTATACCGAATCTTCCGTCTACTTTATGTTTGGGATTTAGTTAATGAGTTGGCATTATTCTGTTGGTTGGCAACACAGGATGTATCCGATACTTAATACAACAATAAATGATAATAAACTACGTTTTCGATTATAGGTAGAATGTATAAAATTGATTAGATTAGGATGTTTTTTTAAGACTAGCTAAATATTTGATTGATATGTTAAAAATGCCCAAAAACCGACTTTATCTTTTATCAAGTATTGCGATTTTTTTTATCTGTAGTAACGCCAAAGTTAACCAAGAGATTTAAGCTAGGATTGTTTCGTCGCCAGTTGTGCCAGTTTATTTAGTACACGTTTATAATTAGACTTTATCCACGGTGCACTGGGAGAAGGCGAACTTATATCGCCATAAAAAGACATTTGTGGTATTTCTTTTGAAGGTTAGCCCAAAAACCGACTTTTCGCCCATCCACGTAGTGACGATCAGCATCAGGGCTTAATAGGATGAATAATTTTAAACGAGGAGTAACGAGGAACTTTTAATTTAAGGAGTTAAAATAGAACTTATTCGTTTCTGTACTTTTTAGACAACTAACATTTTTTGGACCAAATTATTTCTTAGGTGATTAAATAAAATGAGATATATTTATTTGCTTCTGCAAACATTCAATTGTTTTTTTAACTGTATTTTTACTAACATTTCTGTAAGACCACTAAATCTACAGGGTCTCTCTAGCTCCTAGAATAAAAAAAAACTTGAGAATTTTGTTTAAGTGCAAATCTAAAGTACGTATACTCTGGTTTTTTTTCTCATGTAAGATTTCGACAGACGATGACAGAAGAAAAGCAGATGACGTCCCATACTAATCTATTTATTTTACTAAAAAAAGTTTCTAATATTTTTTAACTATGGATGGGTTTAAATATAAATCCGTCATACGTCGTCTCTTGTTGTTTTTATCCAGTTTTATTGGTTTATTTCAACAGTGACAGATCATATTTTAATTTTATTGGTTTGACGGAACGATGAACGACAAACGGACGCCGATGCGTATGAACTCGCCTTTAGATTTTTGTGGTTTGTCAAAGTCTTGCCAAATTATAGGTTATAATTTTGTGTCAACTTAATGTCAAATATCTGCGTTTTGGAAGATGATGCATTTTGATTCATGTTATTACGTGTGTTTTGTGTCTTTTAAAGTAAAGTGGATGAAAAATCCAGAGAAAATTAACTGTAGACCCAGAGCACAGTTTATAGTTAATACCTAAGGTTAATACCCGCTGCCCAGGCAGAAAGTCTTATACACCAATAAAGTTACCATCAATAAAGTTTGTATACAAGCTCGTCGTAGATAAGTACAAGGATCGTACTAAACATATGTACTACTGGAGTAGCTGTAAAATATCGACATCGCGCGATAGGATTGATAGGATTTTAGTACTGAAGATAGATAATGTCAAAAGGTACTGGTTAATAAAATAATATTAAAGTTAGTTAATCAACTTTTAAGGTATAATATTCAGTAAGTGTTATTATTAATAAAAAGTTCGTTTTATGTATGTTGTTTTGTTTATTCCTGTGGAATATTACAAATTTGTATTTGTACAGGGTGGGTCAAATTCGACGCTTTTAAATGGAAACACCCTTTTCTATAGGAGATAGACGAAAACTAATATCGGTGTCTGGAGCTCAATTTCTGTCAAAAACATGATGGTGAAAACCACATATCGATATCTGTTACCATTTCGAAGTTACGGGGTGTTTTTCAAAAATGTGCATTTTTAACAAATCGCTGTAACTTTTTTGCTATGGAAAATTTTGTATTTCTATGAAAACATTTCCAAAGCATCTTTTCACGTAGAATTTAATGGTTTAAGTATAATTTTTTTAAAATTAATAATTTAAGAGCTATCAACAGAAAAATTGATTTTTTATCTGGGACACCCTCTACATTTTTCATTAACTGAAAAGAATTTAAAATTACCTTTCCAAAAATATAGCACACTTGATATTTTGTTATAATCCCCTTCGAAATACAGATAAATCAAAAATATACATTTTTGAACCTTCCTTAAAAAATTATTACAAATACAACTCTCCTGATATCAAAACTATATTAGGTATTTACTATGGTCTAAAATTAGTTCGTTATAAATAAATGCCTTTATTGTCAAAAAATTTTTCAATTAGTAGACAAAGGTAAACTAACAAACAAAGTAAAAAAACAAGGTACACAAACAAACAAACAAAAGATAATACAAAACATTATACAAATAATATTGTCAGTCTTATTGTTAAAATAAACATTTATAAATGTTTATAATATCAAAGAACAAAAAATAAAAATAATATTCAAAAATATTTAGCTAGTTTATAGTAAAATATCAATGGCCCCTAAATAAATTCATTTCGATGTCATTAGTAAATATAGCAATAGCAAACATTAGACCAGTGTTTACAAGATCAAATTTAATTTTCAAAATATAATTCATTTACGGCGTAGAAAGCCTTGTCTAGTAAATAAGAGTTCAATGCTTTGCGAAATGAAAAAAATGATGTTATGGATTTGATTTCAAATGGCAGGTGATTGTGCATTTTTTTCGAGTTGTATAATATTGAACTTTTAACTAACTCTGAGCGTGGGGTAGGTAGATAAAGATCTTGCTCCGCGTTCCTGAGTGGATAAGTGTGAGATGGCCTTTCTTGAGAAGCTGATACATGTTTACGTATTAGGCAAACGGATTCAAATATAAATAAGGAAGGAAGAGTCAATATTTTTAATTTTTTAAAAAGTCCCGGCAATGAGTTCTGCTGTTTAGTCCCAGTGAATATCGAACAGCTCTCTTCTGGAGCCTGAAAATGCGGTCAAATTGAGTCGCACAACACGTACCCCAGAATGGAAGGGCATACCTGAGGTGTGACTCAAAAAGTGCATAATAAACAGTTCTAGCCACTGACAAGTTAAGCTCCTTAGAAACAGACCTTAATGCAAAACAGGCAGGGCTCATTTTTTTCGACAAAGCTTCGATATGTATGTCCCATTTCAGAGAATTATAAATGTCGTAATCTTGAACAGGGTGTTCAAAATTCTGCGCCAAACTTTCTAAAATATAAAATGTTTTTTTTTGTTTTTCTTAATGGAACACCCTGTATATTATTTTTTATTAGATGGAGAGTTAAAAATAAGCATTTTTTTGTATTTAATGTATTTCAAAATTTTTAATGGTTTCACATGCCTCTTTCAACGGTAAAATACGAGAGCAAAAATCATTGGGTGGCTTTGATAAATATTTACTGTGAAAAATGCCATATGAAATATTATCCGCGAATATCTGCGAAACCGTTAAAAATTTTGAAATACTCTGAATAAAAAAAATGTTCATTTTTTAATTCTCCATCTATAGAAAAAATAATATACTATTTTAATATACATTTAAAAAAGCGAAAAAAAAATATTTTAGAAAGTTTGGCGCACAAGTTTGAACATCCTGTATGATTTACGATTACCATATTTATAGCAAAGTAAATAAAGACCATCTAAAGTAAATATCTAATAAAGTTTTGAGTAGAGTTCTTGTATTTTTAATATTTTTTTAAGAAAGGCAAAATATATATATTTTTTTTTTATTTATTTATTAAGATCTTTGAAACTATCGAAATATATTTACCCATATCATAGGATTATGTAAAGTTATCTGAAAGGAAGCCAAAAATTAAAATAAAAAAATTATCCCTCCCCAATCTCACTTTATTGAGTCACCCCGTAGATGTTAAAATATTTTCCTGAAATGCATCCTAATACATACTTTTTAAGTTAACACTTAAACGCAATTCATAGGTTTTTTTATTTTACGAGATGCCCGATGCACTATTTTGCCGGACCTTGTAGATAGCACGCGCATTCACCATTTCGTCAAGATACTCAGTTAAAAAACCGAAAAAAAAAATATTTGTATAGCAGGCGGCTATAAATTTAATGTACGTCTACCTTTTCATGCTAAATAACATTTTTACGTGTCTTTTGTAATATTTTAAAAATCGATTTTTTTAAATTATTATTATTATAAAAGATATATTTCTTTCAAAAATGTCCCACAGTTATCGCAGAGGATATTAGTATTATATTTATACGTTGATAGATACCACAGTTTGTAATACTATGACTTGCGCTAGTAAAACCACCAAACAGGTTTTTTCGATCTGTTAAAGCGACAAACTATTTATTTAATCGATGAAAAATCACTAATCAGTATTCACGGAACGTCGTTTGAGATATTACCAGTCTATTGTTTACTACATTCTCATATGGTAAACACCGAGATAAAAATAATAATAGGTTATCAACATAATACGAAAAATGATAGTTAAAAGTCAGTAGAATTTAAAATGTTATCAAGTAACAATGTGATTAGGTGCTGGATTTTGATAATTAGGTAAAAAAATTAATTTAAGATTATTTTTTATCAATATTTACGCTTGGTAATGGATTATTTTTTCTGCACGTAATGTTTTACATATTTTACTGTACCCAACGATTATTATTTAAAAGTGTACAGCAAATTTTTACGGTACTATTTTATTTACTAAAAATTATTTTATTACTGTCTTAAATCGTGGATTTTATCTTTTATTATATTATATTCAAATAGAATAATATGTAAATATTTTGATAAATTACTTGATTATGTTTATATATATATTAATTAATAATAATGTTATATAAATTAAATAATATTTTAAAAAAACTATTAAATTTCAAATGAATTTTATTTGCCTAAGCAATCAAAAGATAAAAAACGCTTCTGAGACTATCAAATTGTTGATATAATATTATTTTGAGTTTAAACTATCTCTTTAAAAGCAACTTTTTTCCAAAGCCTACCATGAATTCACTGAGGCGTCGTTTCTTAGTCACTCTCATTAATATCTTAATTATTAGATATCAATACACCTAGTATTATGGTATTCTGGTACATTGTTGATTTTTTGAATGAAATAATCTTTTCTATCTTATTTTTTATTAGAATGGTCATCATGAGGGCTAGGGATACCGTGTTAGAAAGACAAGGTAATTAAGGGCTTATTTTTTCGTACCTATTTATTATAATTTTGCTAATAACTTTGGTTTGAAAAAAGATATCAAGATGCGGTTTTCGCTGAATTTTTAAATTTTTATTACTCTTTAGTATCAGCTAAAATTATATATACTATCGCATTTAACTTTTTCGAAAAAACGCGCAATGTTTGTTAAATTCTAAGACAGCGCCCCCTAGCGTCTACGTTCAAAAGATTATTTTTATTGTTTATATGGTATAATATAGAGTAAGAAACGATCTTTTAAACGAGCCTTCATTTGTTGGATTTCGATCAACCAGTCCGGAGTTATTAACATTTTTTGGCAAAATAAAATACTAATTCACCACAATACACCAAAACACTTTTAAACAAATAGAAACAGATCTAACCTTTCCCCACCACTTTATTTGGTCAGATAGCGGAAAATGGTTCTAACAAAAATATGCAAAATTTACTGAAGATTATAAATCCATTATTTATAATATCCGTTATCTGGACAAAATTGTGTCCCTTTTTCTTATTTTTAATAGCAGTTGCGCCCTCTAGCGGCCGCTCTACAAACTTGAAAATAATTTCCAGCAATTTCTCATGCTCTCTTTAGTTATAGATATTTTTTTCCGCAAGCTCTACGACTAATACTTTCCGAGATAAAGCCGAGAGCTATTCTTAGTGGGACACCCTGTACAGAGTAGGCCAAATTGGACGCTTTTAAAGGGAAACACCCTTTTCTAAAGATGTCTCAGAAATAAGAGCAAGTATTTTAACTGGCAGTATACATGCCTACGAGGTTTTTTTGCGAGAAAAAAATTGTTGAAAATTTAAAATTTTTCTTCACAATTTCCGGAAAATTTTCAAAAACTTTTTAGTGCCACTTGTATATTTACCTGAGATTTCTCTACGATGTATCCAAACCTTGCAGTGTTGCAACCTCCTGTGTTATCCACATTCTACATAGTTCTATATTTATAAATTAATAGACAAATTTCTACACAAAAAATTAGGAATGTTAAATTTAATCTTTTATCAATGCTGATTAATAATAATTCTAGAAAAAAAATCGTATTGATTATTTTTAGTACTTACCCTTTCAATGAAAACAAAAATCACCGAATATTAACTAAAACATTACGTTTATGACGTTTGCGAAAATCTTTGTTATGCTGCAAAATAACTTTATTTTAGAATAAATTTAATAAAATGATTCATCATATTATTCACAATCAGGTCACAAAAAAGAAATTCCTAAAATGTTTATCGTAATTTAGAATTCAATATATCGAAAACAGGCCCAACCAATAATCGATTAATTTTTGTTTTGTTTGTTTCCTTTCATGTTGCTCTGTTTTATTTTTAAAATTTAATACGGATTTGATTGCTTCGAATGTTTTGAATTTAAAATTGTTGAAACTACGGTAATCTGACTTAATATCGTCGCATGACGCAAACTCGATACGTCGGCGCCGGCGCGCCGCCTCAAAGGACTAAGAACCAGTTGACACGCCGAACTTTTGGCTGACGGTTGGCTGACGGTTGGCTGTCGATGGCATGGTCGAAATATATCGAAGAAATAGCGAAAAAACAAAATATGTATTTAAAATTGTTGTGTGAAACATGTATTTTCATATATTAAAAGTAGTTGTTCGTAAAGTAGTGATAACCCATACAGCCACGGTACGTATTATGTACGTACCTGGTACGTACTATGTACGTACCTGGTACGTAATGTTGGGACGAACGTCAGGTCCCTGGTACGTACAAGTACGTACAGGTATGTACTATGTACGTACTAGAGACGTACATTTTCCAACGCTTTGTACATCACCGGTACGTTCCTGGGATGAAGTAAAGTACGTACTATGTACGTCGCATGTACGTACATTCCAGATACGTACATGTTATGTTCTGTTCCGGACCAAAACTGGATGTAAAATGATCGAAAGTACGTACAATGTACGTACTATGGACGTACATTTTTCAACGAGGTATAGGTCCTAGGAATTTAATTAGAAATAATTCAATTGAAGTCAGCTTAAAATATTTATTAATATAAAAACTCAGATACAAGGTCATCCCTTATGTCTTGATACACCCGTGAGTCTGGCTTCGGTCCGGCAACTACACCCTTAGCGTACTCTGTCTTCTATTGGATGTTGATAGATATTTCATTTTTTTTATTCTCGAACTGCTTCTAACTAAAAAATACAAAAAGAAAACTAAAAAAAAGTATTAAAATATATAATTCTTGCCTCTGTTTTGAAAAAATTGAATGAGCCGATTCTCAATCATTCGAGGTTGTGACTGTGCTAGGTGAAATATAATAGTCACATTAAATGTGGCAGTGTCATGTAACTCATCTGATGATTCCCAACTTTGAGATACACAACATAAGTTATCTCGAGGGTTATCTGTGTCAGTTTCGCTAATGTTAAGATGTGGCAGAGAATCTTCAGACTGTAAATCAAGAACTGAAACATCTGATGTGCTATGTTGATCATTACAAGATTGAAGGAAAGATGCCTGATTAAATGAAGGCTGTGTATTTTGATTAGGGTATGGAGCCTCTTGAAGAGCTCTTTCAAACCGCTTAATTTGAACATTTGCCCTTTTGCAATATTTGCTAGAAGTATCTTTGCGCCACATTATATTATTAAACTTTAACTTACCTTGAAACAACGAGCAACGAAGGCAACAACAAAAAAACAAACAAAACCGAACCGGCCACCATGACACCCACTCACACAACACAATCGAAAACTGGATCGAAGTAGGTGGGCACTAAGTGTATTGTTGTTTTTATTTTTTAACGTTGATTAATAAAAGATGGAAATACACTAGCTCACTAGCTCTGCCAATCGAAAACGCCATTAGAAAACGCCCGACTTCCGATTCCGTCCAGACTCGAATGTGAACGAATAACTTACCGAGAAATTTAAACATAGGACTGCATAATTTTCCTGTTTTAGCAGCTTGATTGCATAATATATTGCATTTTTAACCCATCACATTTCTTCAAAGGCTGTCATGCATTATGGTCATTGGATAATTTAGGAAATCATTTTTTATAGCGGTCGGGTTAAATTTATTAATAAAAGAAGTAGAGGTAGGTGAGAGTGACTTTAATTAACGTTAGCCTAGAAAAGATCCACTGATCCAGTCCATTCATTATTATTAGGTATATCTGACCAAAATAATCCAGTCATGAGTCATGATATTAAAATTAAATAACATTTTGTAATGCGTTGTCAAAAATTTTCAAGATACGTACGTAGTACGTACTCGCATGTACGTCCGTTATGAAGTCCTACAATGTACGTAAACAGTACATACATGGGGCACGTACTATGTACGTACAGTTTTGTACGTACATAGTACTCCCTAATTGGTCCCGGGACGTACCGACGTAAAATGGACATAAAATGTACGTCCCTGGGACGAAGTGTGCTGTATGGGAAGAGACAATATAATTCTCAACATTTATTCATTCAGAAAGATATTCAAAGCTTTTCAAGGTGTTTTGTAAATCACTGGTTCAAATTGTGCCTATATCAAAATAATGTATTAGAAATGGGGCCTGTTATTTTAGCAGTTATTTTAATAGCGTGTACAAGTAAAGCAGCACAGTGAAGTGTATTTTAGTTACGTGTGTATCGAAAAAGAGAACTGTCACAGTTACATCGATCTGTCATAAGTAGTAACTTTTTTTAATGTTGGGTAAGTTTTTTCGTTTAATTTATTTTGTGTAATAATATCATAATCTTAAAATATAATGCACGTCTGCAATCTCCGCCTAACTCCTCAGTTGGTGTGATTTTATGACTTATTTTTAAGAATATACTTTCTTGTCCATATGACAACATAGGGTGTCGAATTGCGTGAGATCCGGGCTTGATCCGGGTAATTGGATGTAGTTGGCGATATCTGCCGGCAGTTCTCAAAATGTTGCTATTATTTTTTTAAATTTCAAAGTTAAATATCGCGAATATTTTCAATTTATTTTAAAATGGTAAGAGAAAATATGTTTCTTTTGACCAGATCTACCACCCCTTAATATACTTGCGTTTATTTCTGGGACACCCTGTAGAGAAGATAGACGAAAATTAATATCGGTGTTCGGAGCTGAATTTTTATCAAAAACATGTAGGTGAAAACCGTCCATCGATCTCTGTTAATATTTCGGAGTTGCGGGATGTTTTTCAAAAATGTGTATTTTTAACAAATCGCTGTCACTTTTTTGCTATGGAAAATTTTGTATTTTTATGAATGAATTTCCAAAGCACATTTTTACGTAGAATTTAATAGTTTAGGTATATATTTTTTTAAATTTTTGGAAAAGTAATTTTAAGTTTTTTTTTAGTGAATTAAAAATATACAGGGTGTCCCAAATATAAAATCAATTTTTCTGTGGATAACTCTTAAATTCTTAATTTTAAAAAAATATATACATAAACCATTAAATTCTACGTAAAAAGGTGATTTGGAAATGTTTTCATAAAAATACAATTTTCCATAGCAAAAAAGTTACAGCGATTTGTTAAAAATGCAGATTTTTGAAAAATACCCTGTAATTCCGAAACGGTAACAAACTCGGTAACATATATCGATGTGCGGTTTTCACCATCATATTTTTGATAAAAATTGAGCTTCAGACACCGATATTAGTTTTCGTCTTCCTCCTATAGAAAAAAGTGTTTCCCTTTAAAAGCGTCCAATTTGACCCCCCTGTACATACTATTAATGTGAATATAATATACAGGGTGGTCGGAATTGTATTCGGAAAACTTCGTTAGCATACATATACATACATACATACTGTCATTACTCGCTGACGAGTATCTGATACGCATCAGAAGATGGTCGCGTAAGGCGTTTTCTTTCATGAGCTTTTATGTTAGCAAATTCTTCAGATAAAAATAAGTGAAAAAGTTACATTCATGTCCTAAAATGATTTGTTTTGGAGGTACAGGGTGTAGAACTTTCATTTTTATTTCGTTTTTTTCCAAATGATTTCTGAACTATAGTCGATATTTAGATGAAAATTAGTGTCTGAGTATTTTTTGGCATGAGAAACTTGATTTCGATGTCAATATGACTCCAACTTGAAGGAGGCGCCACCTACATGTTTTTTAAATGGTTTGAAGTGTAATAACTTTTCATTCGTCTCTGTATAAAACTAACTAGGTCGTAAAATGCTTCGTTTCGGAGCTACAGCGTGTACCAGTTTCATTTTTATTTTATTTTCTAAATAATTTCTGAACTAGCGTCCATATCTTGAGAAAAATTGGTGTCTGGGTGTTTTTAGATATGAGAAATCCGACTTTGATACTCGTATGACTCCTACTTATAGAGGCGTAGATAAGTTTTTCAGTGCTTTTAACTTTTTGTCCGTACCTGTGTTACACTTCTTATAAGAAAAAGAATACATTTTTGTAGGTCTAATAACTATCAACAGGTTTAATTTTGTTAATAATGACGTATTGACCATTTCGGTTACAAATATCTTGAGAATTATTACTCGTAGCGATTTTTACTAAGAGAACCTTTTTACGTAAAATACCGCGGAAATGTATATTTTTTCACTTTCACTACGTGTCACCCCGTAGAGTTAATATTCTACATTTTATTATCCGTTTAGCTTTATATCACTGGCATGGTTATGTCCAGCCGCAAGGATTCTGGGAATATTTCCTGTTCCTGGAAGAAGCCACTATATTTTAGAAAGCACCCTAATGAAAGCACTGGCTAACGCAGGTCACGATGTCACAATAGTGTCGCCATTTGGGGAAAAGTATCAGTCAGAGAAGGGTTCCTACAGAGAAATTGTTTTAACTGGATTTTTGGAAGCACATGCTGGTAAATATAGTATCAAAATTGAATTTACACGCCATTTTCTGCAATTACGACACAATACAAAATTTGATATATTTGCGTTAATTATTTTAAATACAGTGATATAGTTTATCTCTAAATAAATTATTAGGGATCACTTTGATAAATTTCGTTTAAATAAAGAAAATATAATATTTATTTAAACATAATAGACTTACCAATATATTCCATAGAAATTAACTTTGAATGTAGTGTATGAACCTCAGCCAAACTGCTGAAAATTGTATTTTTATAACATTATGGATGATTACATCTGCCATTACTCGCTGACGAGTATTTGATACACATCAGAAGATGGTCAAGCAAGGCGTTTTCTTTCATGAGCTTTTCTGTGACTGAAAAGCCGGATACGTGATGTTATCTGTCTACCGTACTCCAGACATTCAAAAATCTCATTACTCTGTTGCCTCCTCACTTTTTGGTTGTCGCTGTTAACTGAGTTTACAACTCTTCTCCATTCCGTTCTATTGTGAGCTGTTTCTTTCCACTCATTCTGTTTGTTAATCCCCTTTAAGTTTGCGTGTAAAATATCCTTGTATCTTTTGAGTTGTCTATCCGGCCTCCTCTTACCGTAACAGCTAACAACCTACACAAGCTCACCGTAAAGCAGAGATTTTGGTATGCGGTTTTCTTGCATTCTGCATATGTGACCAGCCCATCTTAAGCGGGACTTTGTAATCATGACTTCAATACACTGGCAGTTAGCTTTTTCAAGGACCGATACGTTTGAGACTGATGGAACCATTTGATTCTTAAGAGTTGTCTAAGATGTCTCTGTTGCAACTTGTTTAATGCGTTCATGTGTAGGCGGTACGGCATCGGCACCCAGGTTTCGCTTCCATATAACATGGTGAGAATTATTATAGCTCGGTACACTGCAAGTTTCGTTTTTGTGCTCAAGTTATGATTGTAGAAAACCCTGTCTTTTAATTTCCAGAATGCTCTTGAGGCGCTGCTAATCCTGTGCTGAATTTCAGAGTCGATATTGGCCCTTTCCGAAATCAAACTGCCGAGGTAATTGAATTCCGCAACATATTTCATTAGTTCTTCTACGATCTTTATAGCATTGTTATGATCCTCCGGGGGAGTGCACATGATTTTAGTTTTATTGATGTTCAGCTAAAGTCCCAAAGCCTCGTATGCCAGACATGTATATGTGTTCAACATTTCAATTCAAACGTTTGCAATTGCTGTAACGTACTTGCAACTAGAGCACAGTCGTCAGCGTATTGAAGTTCTGTGATGCATTTTGTACGCGTTTTGGCCCTGAGTCTTTTTATGTTGAACAGACCGCCGCGCCGTCGTATCTGTATCTAATGCCCAAACCTCTCTGCAGTTTGCTGTCCACTATAATGGAGAGCGCTGCCATGAATATATTGAAAAGGAGAGCCGCTAAGACACATCCCTGCCTAATGCCTGTGTTTGTTAGGAAGGGATCACTCAGTGATCCATGATAATGACACTCTTGACTTGTTGTTGTTATAGGGCTTTTACACATTGTAATAAATTTGTTGGGTACTCCGAACTTTTTCATAATGCCTAAAGTGCATCTCTGCTCACAGAGTGGAAGGCTTTTTTTATTAGATCGATGAATGCAACATAAAGTTTAGACTGCTACTCTTTTACTTTTTCCTGTAATTGGCGGATGGAGAATATGGAATCGACGGTATGGATGACTACAATATGTCTCGCAAACAATGTTAAACCATTTCTATCTTAATTATTGGCAACGGAAATATTTTTTTCCTAATAATGTGTGTGTCCTCCGCGGTTTCTACGCACTTCTGCACACCGATTTGGCAAAGACTAAATGAGACTCCGAATAATCTCTTGAGGAACAAATTTGTAATCTTCTCTTTAGTAGGATTGATTCAATAGGATTGAGATTAGGTCTATTATTTATATATTATATATATTAGCAGGTCAATCCATAATTGTGATATTGGACTTTTAGGTATCGAGTAACTACTCTTGCAGAATGAGGCCTGTAGAATGTAAGATGAATTTTTGACCATGCTTAGGATGGAATAACTGTATCGTGCAAGTCCGGATTCACTTTTACGGTTATACCTCCCTATACCATGACGGAACCTTCACCAAAATGAATTGCTTCTCTGACTGTTGTATCCAGATACCCTTCATACGGTCTTCTGTATACTCTCCGAACATCATTATGGCTTCGACCGTAAAAAGAACGCGCCTCCACTGATCCACGCCCCAGTGAAGATGTTCTTGAGCAAATATCCTTAATAATAATAATAATAATAATAATAATTTATTAAATCCTTAAGACATGTTTTACATGTATAGATCAAGTCTACAAAAACATTACATATAATAACTAATACTTACTAAATTTTTCACGACAATATTTATATTAAAAATACACATAAATGGGAAAAAAAAGAAAAAAAAAACACGCTAAAGTTCTCTGCTGTAAGCGTCGTATTCCTCCAGACTATAGAAAACTCTGTCAACCAAAAAATTCCACAACTTGCTTTTAAATAACTCTGGCTCAGATCTCTACAATCTGCTGACGGTCAGACAGATAAGACCCTAATCATTCGTAGATTTTACCTCTCAAGCCACAATCATGAAGTTTTGATAAAAGCATTGTGTGATCCACCAGATCAAAAGCCTTACTGAGGTCCATAAAAAGACCGATACTCTTCGCGCGATCATTCAGTTTCATGTACAAATTATTTAGAAATTCGCAAATTGCAGTATGAGTAGATCTACCTTCGCAAAAACCATGCTGAAATGAACTTAATAAAGCAATTGTATAATAACTATATATTTCCTAAGAAACACCATAATTTGTCCATGAACTAATTTTTCTATTATTTTTGAAATTGTCGGTAAAATTGCTATAGGTCTATAATTTTCAATATTAAGGGGATCAGATGTTTTAAATAATGGGGGGAACTATTTTAGATATCTTCAAAGATTCAGGAAAAATAGCTACCTCAAATGACCAGTTCATCAGATACGTCAACGGAATTAGTACTAGATCAGCAACTCGTTTTTAAGACTACAGAAGAAATACAATCAAGACCAGCGGAGTTTGAGTTTTTTAACTTCCCAACTACATCCATTATTTCAAATTCTATGCGTTTGCTCCTCTGACTTCGATGTATTATATTGTCGATGGAATACTTTTTTGGCAAATCGTTGAAATAATGGTTGAAACAATTTGCAATTTCGTATTGGTCACTCAACATCAAGCCTTCTTCATCTCTTATGCAATAATTTACAGTTCTTATCTTTTTCGTGTTATGGATATTATTGTTAATAATTTTCCAAGCAGCTTTTGACTTGTTATCCGATTCAAAATATACCTTAGAATTGTACAATAGCTTAGCTTGCTTAATAACCCTCCGATATATTTTATTGTACGAATTATATAAGTTTTTATCATACTCTGTAGAATTTTTCTTTCTGAATAAAGCTTTCAAAGTTTTCGAGGACTTCCTAATACCCTGAGTAATCCAAAGCTTTCGCCCGTTTCCATCATGACTCTTTAATCGTTTAAACGGAAACGATAATTCAAAGTAATATTTAAGACTGTTTAAAAATGCACAGAAGCCTTGGTCAATATTAGGATCTTGAAATACCTCATGCCAAGCCTCGCGACTCAGGTATTCTCTAAATATACGAAAATTATTTTCATTGTAACAACGTTTATAAGAAAATTGTTTATCTAAATTAATTGGAACAGTAAAACTTATTACCTGGGCAGCGTGATTAGACAGACAGTTTTCCCATATATAAGCATTTACATCATCGATATTATAACTAACACAAACGTAATCTATTAAACTAACTGAAACTGCTGTAACACGCGTTGGCTCATTGATAACATTAGACATACTGTAACAGAGTAACATATCCCTGAAATTCTGGACGTCAGATGTTGGTTCCAGAAAATTAATATTAAAGTCGCCACAAACAATTATATTTTTTTTTATTATTTTGACATATGTTGTAAAGCAGATCATTCAATTTTGACAGAAAATGTGCCCTACAATCATTAGCAGATAAATGCGGCACAACAGCTGCTCGCCTTGATCGAATTTTAACTTCATGCATTCTATTTATTACAGTCTTGAAATTCGAGTTCCTGTGGCGATCGTAAGATTTTGTAGGTATCTTGCGGTAAGTATTCTTTCACGAAGAGCGGCTTGAAAAAGATACCGATCTTCTGGCCTCGTTGTCCGCCTTACTCGTTGAGGATATGGTCTGCGGACCACAAAACCATATTCTCTGTGTCGATTCCATAGTCTGGAAATGAGCGATTGTAACATGAAAAAGCTGTGAGACGTATCGTTGCGACCGACCCTCCTGCAGTAAAGTTGTGGCTCTGATTTCTTCTTCAATATTTAAACGCCTTCTAACACCCCTTGGTCTTCCCAAAACATCAAAATTTGCCATAATTAATACCAATTTTGACGATCAAGAAGGCAAAATCAAACTAAATAAGAAATAGATTTTATGGAATGTATGCGTCTTCGAGTGCGTTTTTATTGTTATTTTTTTATGACGGGTACATAGTAATACAGATACACATATATCTAATCCCTAATTCGTTTTGATTAGTTTATTTCTTCTTCTTTTATTGTTTCAAATATTTATTATAGTTTTTTCTCTGCATATTTTCCTTATCCCACGAATTGGTGTAACTGGCATTTTAGTGAAGTATTGTTTTACCTGGTACTACGTAGTATCCGTAGTATTTTTACCACTAAGAGTAGAATATAACATACTAGATCAGGTTTATTTTACATTGCTGTTGATATAATTTGATGTGATCGAAAATTTTATAAATTTACAATTTACTATTTTAGAAAGGAGAAAAGCTGTAAATCTTTTTGAAAGACCATCTATTAATCCATTGTTGGCTATATACATAATGAACAAGATTGGTTTAAAACTAACGGAAAATACGTTTAAACATGAGAATATGCAAAAGTTGATGAATTCTGGGGAGAAATTCGATGCAGTCATCGTGGGACAATTCTTAAACGACGCTCTTAAAGCACTTGCCTATCATTTTGAGGGACACTTAATATTATTTAGTTCTGTTGGCACAAGTACTTGGGTAAGTTTTATATTCCAAAGCATTTCTCTCCAAAGACTATAATATTACCCTTGTTTATATATTCTTAAAGTTGATCAACCGACTAGACAAAATGTGCTGCCAACTGGAGGACAAATCGTGAACCTTTCGGGGCGGAGTCAAAAATATCGATTATTTTCGTTATTTTCCTCAGAGTAATGTAATAAAATAGCCCGGGTTTCTGCGAACTTTAATAGTGATCAGTTGATTAAGAAATTTAAACGAAACTTTTATTTTATTGTAAATTGTGGATTATTTTTGCCTGTTATTTTAAGAATTCTAAACCGTATTAACAAAGAAATTATTATTTCGATATGTTGGTACATTATTTATAATTTATGATAATGCTAATTGGCTGTTAATTAATATTTAAAAAAAAATTTACATACCTATTTTAATTTGATTTAATGCAGGTTTATAAAAGAATCATTTCATTTTTTTTAAATATAAAACTTTTTACGTTTTCGGTGCCAACTAACTCGCATGGTATTATTGGTATGAAAATTAGCCAAGAAAGAAAAGAGTTGGCTATAACTTGTAATTTTTCGAAAAAAAACATATTATACCTATATCGCTGAAAAGCTTAAAAAATGGCGCTTTTTATGAAGTCATGGCCAACTATGGTTTCCATTTACAAAAAAAACATAATGTTTGTGTCATATGTCAAAAATGACAGGCTTTAGGAAAAAAAACTGAAAACACAAACTCATTAGGTATGTGATTATCTACAACTTTTATCTGAAACTTTTTGTCTAAAATACCATATGATCGAATAAAAACGGCGTCAGCGATGGCTATGAAATGACAATCGATGATATTTCCCATATAATTTTACATATAAAATGACAGCGATCTTCATTTCATAGCTATCGTTGACGCCGTTTTTATTCGATCATACGGTAGATTATAATGGAATTAGAGACAAGTTTTAAAATAGCCAAAATTTGTTTTTTTCGAAATATCTAGTAAGCCTTGAACTTCTCCGAAAAATCCGAAAGGCGCATATTTATGACCCTACAAAACTGCTATTATTCTTTCCTCATTTAACCGACTCTCTATCTCCAGTAGTTTCCGAGATACCCATAGAGAACATCGATCGTAGGAAACTCACCCTGTATAGTATTTAGAAACTAATAGAAACTAAATGTTATTATTATTTGACTAGATTAATTTGATTAATAAGACTCGATTAATTTAATTTAAAATAAATTTGATCAGATTTTTTTTTCGTATATTCTACTACCAGAAAACCAAAATTATATGATAACGTACTTTTCAACGAAGTTGAAGGAAGATATAGTGTATCTATCACAATATTTAATAGAATTATTACAATTAGAAGAAAAACAAAAAGAAAATATACCCAAATACTTCATCTACAAAATGAACTAATATAATATCTTATAAAAACACTACACAACTACTTCTTGTATTCTACCCTGAAAAAATTATCAAACTACTAATTAATCAAACAAAAAGAAAAAATAGCCAAATTATCCCTTCACCTACTACTTAACTACAAAATAATAAACTAAAAACACTACTAAACTATTTCTGGTATTCTACACTAAACATTATAATTAAACTTAATAAAATTAATCTAATTTTACACTACAACCACTACAACTACAAAGAAATAAGAACATTTTTTAAAACTAGAAGAAACAGAACTTCGATGCGACCAGTATAATAGATCAAGCGGACAAAGAATATAAAATACTTTAAAAATGTGCATTCAGAAAGAAAAATATCTCGCAAATTACCTAAACAAACATTTTTTTTTCTTATCAGTGAAAAGCATCGGCCTCGTCGGCCTTGCGGAATTTATCGGGTATTTACAATGGTCGAATTGTATAATTACCAGCTTTTATAGCATATCTAGACAAAAAGTATCTGGTCGATTAGTAACCAATTGGCACAGTCCGAAAATTATCGATTTTTATTTTCTCTGTTTTTATTGGTCGCTTCAAAATTCAGAGTAACAAAAAATATTTTTCTGTAGTAAAAGACTGTGAAATACGCCCCGCCATCTGGTGCTTTACATCCATAAACGTCTTAGGTTGAGCTACTTTAAAAATTCATATACAAGGATATTACTTATGATAGTAATGTTTGTTTTAAACTATTCTAAGAAATTAATCCCATAGTTAACATGAGAATTTTCTTTCATCTGTAATCATCTAAATTTTTTAAAAAAGTCCTTCCTTATATTGACCATTAAACGTTAAAAATATACACCTCCAAATCACTATACAACTCAATGACTAAAGAATACAAGGACATATAACGTTCATATACGGGCTGCAGCAGAATTTGTTACATTAGACGCCATCATATTGGATCATACGGATGAGTCACCACCTCGTCAATAGCGACAATTTTAGCGATTTTTAATAATTTGTTGTATGTAGTGAACTTTGTATATACCTTATTACAATGGTGATGGTGTTCAGCTTTCAAGTGTAAAAGACGCAATGATAAGAAAGAGCTAGGAGTTAGGTTAGGTAGAGTTAGTTAGCGTTTCTCTTAAGTAAATAAACAGTCCACTCCACATTTTTAGCGTTTTCTTATTGAATTTAATAATTATTTTTCTGATACTATAAGTACTTGATATGTGCTAATCGTCGATACTAGTTTTCTACCTTTTGTTAACATTTTAATACGTTTTTTTTTTCGTAATTAATTAGCATGATATCACCGACCGCCTACACCATAGGCATAGTCAAATCATTTATCAAAAATATGTATATCCCATTAAGCAGCTAAGTTAAGAAAAACATATGGCCACGGCACTGTTTGAAGCCGTGGTAACAATTTGGTCTCGGGTGTTATATTATGTCCATATATTCTTTAGTCATTGATAAAACTCTAAAGATAAAAGAAAATAACCACTATAGAACTGCAATTCAGGTAAAATAATAATGTCAAGAAGCGTGGCGACATCTGCCGCAGAATGAACGAAGCGAGTTCTGTATTACCGATGGTGATTCGAATTTCTAGAATCAAAAAGAACGTTACAGATATCCCCGGGACGAAAATTACGAGAACATCAGCTGGAGTATTTAAAGCACTTCCCGCTCTCGAAAAAAGTTAGTTTTAAACACGGTTTTGAAATAAACGAATTAGCGACTAATTGGTGAAGGAGCTAGAAAAAGATATCAGTGTGTTGTATTTAATTTGTATTGTGTTTATAGTTGGAAAATAGTGTTGTTCTGGACCCCCGGAGAGTCCGTAACAATAATATGGCACTGCACAATTTATTTAGTGGAAGGATTCTCAACGATATAAAAGTAATATGGGGGGGGGGGTATATTGTGAATTTGATTTAATTTGTATAAGCAATTTTTGTGGAAGAATAGGACAAATCAAAAACAATTTTATGAAAATACCAGTGTTTGCGATTAAATTAAGTGGACTGTATTATTTTCATAGGTGCGGTTCGTGAAAAAATGCGTTTTGCGATATGATATTTTGCGGTTCGAACACTTCTCTTCGGCTCTCTCGTCGTACTACTGATTCCGCGTGAAGCGGGCGAAAAAAAAATTACGCGACAAAAATATATATTAAATATAAAAATAAAAATACCTTAGTTTAATCCTAAACACCCAGTTTATTTAAATATTAACTCATTTTTTATGCCATTTATTAATAAAATTTACGCTCCTTATATTCCATTGCATGAGAGACCGTAAAAGAATAGAGTGGATACGACAAAAGACCCAGATGATAGATCATCCACAGTGTCAAATCCCTCAAATGGCGATGGGCAGAACAACAGATGGACCACAAAAATTACAGCATAGTACCTACTAGGAATTAAGGGACTTAGAGGAAGACCAAACCTGAGATGGGATCATAATATTAGGAAATTAGCAAGGATAACTTGAGCCCGCATAGCTAAAATAATCAACGATGGGCCCAAATACAATAAATACAAAGAGAGTATATAAGGGAGACTACACCATAATTGGAAATGGATGAATAAGCTGAAAATGATGATGTTGATGATATTCCATTAATTCATCATATACATACCATTTTACACTGATAATGTATATACACTGCCATTACTCGCTGACGAGTATTCGACACGCATCAAAAGATGGTCACGCAAGGTGTTTTCTTTCATGAGCTTTTCTGTGACTAAAAAGCCCGATACGTGATGTTATTTGCCTACCGCACTCCGGACATTCAAAAATATCATTGCTTTGTTGCCTCCTTGCTTTTTGGTTGTCGCTGTTAACTGAGTTTACAATTCTTCTCCATTGAGTTCTATTGTGAACTGCTTCTTCCCAATGATTCTGCATGTTAATCCCCTTTAAGTTTTCGTGGAAAATGTCCTTGTACCTTTTGAGTTGTCCACCCGGCCTTCTCTTACCGTCTACAAGCTCACCGTAAAGCAGAGATTTTGGTATGCGGTTTTCTTGCATTCTGCATACGTGACCAGCCCAATCTTAAGCGTGATTTTGTAACCATGACTTCAATACTCTCGCAGTTAGCTTTTTCAAGGACCGATACGTTTGAGACATGGCGTAACCACCGGATCTTAAGAGTTGTCTAAGGTGTCTCTGTTGCAACTTGTTTAATGCCTTCATGTGTCGGCGGTACGGCACCCAGGTTTCGCTCCCATATAACATGGTGGGGATTATAATTGCTCGGTACACTGCCAGTTTCGTTTTTGTACTCAAGTCATGATTGTAGAAAACCCTGTCTTTTAATTTCCAGAATGCTCTTGAGGTGCTGCTAATCCGGCGCTGAATTTTAGAGTCGATATTTGCCTTTTCCGAAATCAAATGCCGAGGTAATTAAATTCCGCAACATATTCCAATAGTTCTTCTCCGATTTTTATAGCATTGTTATTATCTTCTGGGGGAGTGCACATGATTTTGGTTTTGTCGATGTTTAGCTTAAGACCCAAAGCCTCATATGCCCAGGTATATATGTTCAACATTTTTTGTAATTGTTGTAACGTGTTTGCAACTAGAGCGCAGTCATCAGCGTATTGAAGTTCTGTGATGAATTTTGTACGTGATTTTTGCCCTGAGTTTTTTATGTTGAACAGACCGCCGTCATATCTGTATCTAATGCCCAATCCTCTCTCCTGCAGTCTGCTGTCCACTATAATTGAGAGCGCTGCCATGAATATGTTGAATAGGAGAGGCGCTAAGACACATCCCTGCCTAACTCCTGTATTAGTCAGGAAGGGATCGTTCAGTGATCCATGATGTGACACTCTTGACCGGTTGTTGTTATGGAGGCTTTTACACACTGTAAGAAATTTGTTGGGTACTCCGAACTTTTTCATAATTGCTCAAAGTGCATCTCTGTTCACAGAGTCAAAGGCTTTTGTTAGATCGACGAATGCAACATAAAGTCTAGACTGCTGCTTTTTTACTTGTAGTTGGCGGATGGAAAATATGGAATCGACGGTGCCACGGTTGGTGGGAAAACCCGTTTGCGATTCTGGAAGGATTTTTTCTATATGTAGGTGAAGGCGATTTGACATAATTTTTGCAAGAATTTTTCCTCCGATAGCCAATAGTGAAATTCCCCGGTAATTTCCGCAGTCTGATGCACTTGCTTTGTTCTTAAATATATTCACTATATTCGCTTTGCAAAAGTCCTGAGGTACCTCTCCGCTTTCCCATATGACATCGAAGAGAGCTTCAAGATGGCCAAGTTTTTTACTTGCACACTTATAGATTTCCGCCGGGATCGCGTCAGTGATGATGTAATAAAATAATAAAGGAATATTATTATTTTTTAATTATTAATCCTAATCCGATACTTAAATATTTTTTTGTAGAAGGAATGTCGTCTATGTTCTTTAGTGGGTATCTTGCTTGTCTGTAAATCTGTCTTTTGCGAATCATTTTTACAGTTACAGAGAATGTACCTTCTTGTATTCTAGTTCTTTGCTCGAGTATACAATGGAGAACTCCATTCAAAAGATCCCCATTTTGCGACTTTTGCTTATCACGAATTCCCAAAAACAAAATTTACTCGTCATTCTAAATGGTTGAAATGAAGTGGAGAAAATAAAAGTTATCAATTAAATTTTAATACAACGTAATTGAAAACATGTTATTGTGTAGGAAATTATTGTATATATGTCTACATTCCATAATTGATGTATAAACATCGATTACTTTCATTTTTTTATGATTCTTTCTATTATTGTCCATTTAAGTAATTTTCCGTATTTTAGGTAGTTAATGTATAAGAAATGTATATGTCGCACTCACTTAGTGTAATTGTCCGTTTCATAAAATGGATATACCCACTTCGCGAACTGGTTAGGTTAGGATAGGTTAGGTTCGCGAAGTGGCTAGGTTTCAGTTCGCGAAGTGGATATCCATTTCATGAAACGGACAATTACGCTAAGTGGGTGTGACATATATAAACACTGCGTATTTAATAAATAATATCGATTACTTTTATCCTTTTATACATAGTTTAATTATCATTTTTCTATAATTGTCAATTTTGAGTAGTTTTCCACATGTAGACTATTTATATATAGTATAAATTTTATTACAGGTAAACCATCTCGTTGGTAATCCATCTTTACCATCATATACGCCAGAAATGCTTATGAGTTTTCCAGCAAGAATGACCTATATTCAGCGATTGAAAACGTCCTATTCAACACAATTTACAATATAAATCAATTGATTTTGTTTTATCCACAGCAAAATCAACTCTTAAAGAAGTACATTTCAGACGACATCGATTTACACGATGCTTTATTCAATGTTTCTTTGGTACTGTTAAATAGTCACGAAAGTGTTTCATTTCCATCTTCTTCCGTACCATGCATGAAGCTTATAGGTAACTTACATAAAATATAATTCTTGTTATAATAATAACTTTTTGGCGTTTGCGTTTCAGGAGGTTTTCACGTTAAACCGCCTAAAAAGCTTCCTACAGATTTACAAGAATTTTTAGATAATTCTACGCAAGGGGTTGTTTATTTCAGCATGGGTTCTAATGTTAATAGTAAAGATATGCCTAAAAATTTGAAATCCAGTATCTTGAAAGCTTTTTCAAATTTAAAAGAAAATGTTTTGTGGAAGTATGAGGACCAAACGTTAACCGATTTGCCAAAAAATGTGAAAATAGGAAAATGGTTTCCACAACAAGACATATTGGGTAAGCTTGTAAGCATTTTTCTCATGAATATCTTTTTGAACAGGAATAAGTTTAGTGTTTAAAAAACTGACTTTAATGATTTACTTTTAACTGATTTTAACTTTCCATGGTGAAAATGATTTTGTTTAATTTCTACTCAAATGACACCTTTTCTATAATTTATTATTAAAGAGCGTTCATACGAGTCTAGTCAACCGATCACGATCATCAAATCACTTGATTTCATTGCGCACAAATGTAATATGACTGTCTAAACACGTAAAATCATATCAATTGTTTACAATGACTAAAAAATACAAGGACATGTAACGCCCATATACGGACTGCAGCAAAATTTGCGATGTTAGACGCCATTTTAACGAATGAGTCATGAGATGGTCATCAGCGAAAATTTGGTTAAATTTTTAATAGTTTGTGTATAGTGAGCTTTGTATAATCCTTATTACAATAGTGATTAGTTGTTCAGCTTTCAAGTGTAAAAGCCGCAGCGATAAGAAAAAGTCAGTTTCCTTTCTTTGCAGACTACATACTATAAAACTCTAATTGGGATTATATTTTTAATTATTTAAAAGTTGGTTTACAAATTGTTTTGGGTCATACCTCTTCTTGGTTTTTTTATATTTTTGTAAAAGTGTTTATTTGTAACCATCTAACATGTATTTATTATCAATCAAAAATGCCTAGTATCTAAACCTACCAAAAATCGCAATCCCGAAAGTAACGTATCGACTGTAACGGGAGCATCAACACCGATCAAAACGCGACAGATGAAAACTTGACCCTAGGAGCACTCCAGCAGTCGCACAACCACTGGCACTGGAGCGAAACACGTCGAGGTATAAGTCGTTACCAGTTACATCTCTTCGCGACAGACGAACACGCGACTCTAGGAGCGCAACGGCTGGAACGAAACACATCGCGATCGAGGCCGCACGCGTCGCTACATAGGTACCATTTACTACTGTTCGTGACCGACGAAATCACGACTTTAGGAGCGCGACGGCTGGAGCGAAACACGTCGCTATGCGGTTACTGCGGTTCGAGCCAACTCCAAGAGCGATTATAAATAATTTATTTGTAAATTATAAATAATTTACAATTTCGCCGTTATTATGATCGTCGTTCTTCAGTAACAAGTTCCTGATTCGTTTTGGAACGTGACACGACGGACGTTGCAAAAAATACCACTACAAAATCGCGTTACTCAAATACCGACACATCACTAGTTTGAAGTATAGCTTTATAGAAAATAACAGAAAATTTTTGACATCAAATGTGTAAACGCTTAAAAGTCCGCTGTACTCCTGTGGAATAATAAAAGCAAAATAAAAGTCTAATTCACTACCATACACCAACACAAACATCTGCGGATGATAATGGATAAACATGGTTAGGCGAAACGTGCGTCCTGTGTTAAAAGTAAATTGTTTTGGTGTATTGCAGTGAATTAGTGTTTTATTTTGTTATTGTAACAGCAAATGTTTCAACCTCCAATCGTAATGAATTCCTGTGACTTAATCAGTTCTCCTGACTCGAGAAAACGCGCCTTTATGGTATGGTATTATTTTATTAAATTTAATTCTTTCAGCACATCCCAATGTCAAATTATTTATTACACACTCGGGATACGCTAGCACCATTGAAACCGTATATCATGGCGTACCAATCATAGCCATCCCCATATTTGGAGACCAAGCCATGAACGCTGTGCATGCAGAAACTAAAGGTTTCGGAATCTATTTGCCCTGGCATAAAATTACAGAACAAAGCTTTATTACAACTATACGTGAAGTGATTGATAATCCTAAGTATAGTATATGATGTAATTTTATTAATAATGTATTAAATACTGTTGTTTCATTTTCAGATTTAAAGAAGTAGCCATGCAAAAATCGGTACTAATGAGAGACAGAGAGACTGCACCTTTAGAGAGCGCCATCTACTGGATAGAGTATATTTTAAGACATGATGGAGCTCATCATTTACGAGTATCTTCGTTAGAACTATCTTGGTATCAGTATTATATGTTAGATATTTATGCGCCATTGGCAGTTTTTATTTACGTCCTCTATTTTGTAGTGAAAAAATTCTTAATGTTACTATTTTTTAGGGTAAAACAAAAAGTAAAAATTTTGTAACATATCGTGCAAAAATGCTATTTATTATATAATTGTTATACAGGCAAACTGTAAATATGTATTTTTTGTATTAAAATTTGTGATGTTGATAAGTATGTTCATTTAGTAAACTATTCACGGAATTTTTTTTAACAATATCTTACAACTTGAAATTAGAGATTTTCATGATTTATAAATAGATAAAAAAATTAAGAAAAGAAGTCAGTAACAGGTTGTCCTCACTACTTTTCTTCACTTTTGTTCTGTTACTTCTTTTTAATGCAATATTATACCATGAGAAATGCTATTCAGATTAAACTGTTTTTTTTTATCATCTTTCATCTTATGATCATATATACATTGCAATAAAAATATACCCAAATAGAATTGCCGAGTTCAGCTATTTTCGGAGTCCAATTATGCTCTAGTTTAAGCTATGTTTATACAACAGGGCCTCAGCAAAAAAGTAGAAAACGTGGTGGTTAACTACCCTAACCCTTTCAGGGATATTAGTTTGAAAAACATTATTTTAAATAGCTACAGCAGAAGTTGGGTACATCTATGTTAGGAGATACTACAATAGAACACTAAAAATTAATACTATAAATGAAATAATATCCCTCCCTCTGCCTTTATTCCTAAAAGAGAAATAGAATGGTTGAATGATGTGTGTAGTTTGTCTTCGTAATTTTCAGCCTTGTGTTAATGTACCAGAGTGTGCTGAAATGGTTTGTGGGTGAGCTTTGATAGCTGGCTATCAATCGGGAGGCCGAGCGACCTATTGGTCTTTTTCCTGGTCTTTCCATACCATTATCCCTATAAACAGTATCCCTCCTAATAACGTAACAGAAATATACGTGACTGTATAGAAGTTGAGAAGAAGTTCTGCCATATTCAGTTCTTGGATTATGGATTCATTGGTTCATCGGACAGTCCAGGGAATTCTGAGCATTAGTCACCAACAGTCACCACAGTTGCGTATTTTTTAACATTGAAAATGTTTCTGTTATCCTATATAAGGGAGCCCAAATCGAATTAAAATGCTACATTTGCCACACCATGACGTCATATATACAAGAGTATAGGAAATCTCGGCGCAGCGGCGGCAGTCGGCCAGCGCGCGCAAAAACCATTACATCGCTAATTGTTTATTGATATATCTTTATTAGTTTAAAAGCAAAAAATATGGGGTTTGCTTTGATACCTTGTCAAGACATAAGCGAAACTTTTAAATTGTTTCTTTTTTTCATTTAGGCCTTTTTAACATTGAAAATGTTTCTGTTATCGTATATAAGGGAGCCCAAATCGAATTAAAATGCTACATTTGCCACACCATGACGTCATATATACAAGGGTATAGGAAATCTCGGCGCAGCGGCGGCAGTCGGCCAGCGCGCGCAAAAACCATTACATCGCTAATTGTTTATTGATATATCTTTATTAGTTTAAAAGCAAAAAATATGGGGTTTGCTTTGATACCTTGTCAAGACATTAGCGAAACTTTTAAATTGTTTCTTTTTTTCATTTAGGCCTTCGTTTTTCGTTAAATGAAAGTTATATTAAAAAAAATCTATTATTAAACCAAATCTTCGCATGATTGAAATGATTATTCATGTTTAAAGTTTTTTTTGGTCATAAGCGCTAATGGAAATGTTTTTTCGTAAATAATTATAAAAAATTACTCCCTACGAAGACTTTATTGTGTACTGGATGAAAAAATAAGTATTTGTTTTCTCTATACGGTCGTATTAATATATCGATTTGTGATGATAGTGCCCTTTTACCCGGTCTAATTTTGTACTACTTTCGGAATAAGGGTCCCCATATCATGTACTGTACTTCCATCCCTGAAAAATTCAGCTTGTGACACCGAAGTGAGAGGTAACGTCAAAATACGCTTTAATCTACCTACATCATAGGTAGGTGTAGGTACTCTAGGTTATTCTACCTAGACAGTAGCTGAACTAGCTGACAGTAGTAATTAATTTGTTATCCGATAAGTAGTTTGGTTTGGTTTGGTTTGATAATAAGACTAATTTCTTCTTATTGGTAATAAGACTAATTTCTTCTTATTCTTTTAAATATTACAGTGTTTCTTTTTCCTAAAATGTTATACTTAATTTTCGCTTAAAATTAAAAAATCACAAATGGAGGAAAATATACGTTATCGAATAAAAGTTTATACAAATCACTTTACCATAACAAAAAAGTAAAAACATATCATGGCGGAAGATATTTAGGTGGCATTTCACACATTTATCTATTAAAATCGAGATTAAAATAATAAACTTCCGTAACATGTTATACATGAGATAGAAAATTTCAGAATCGATTAATACGCAATACGCTACGCAGTCAACTTATTCCTATGCGCGGATGAGCGTCTTCAAGACTCTTCCTTCGGCCAGGGTCACGACGCCGTCGAAGAGGAATCGGCCTACGTTTGGCTAAACAGGCTGGACACGGAGTACGATATTGGCGAGTCTGACTATTTATAAAAATTTGCAAAGTAAAATATGTTGGAAAAATAATTAATCCATACATATATAAAAGCTCAAAGGGTTTTTTTGTTGCATCCATCCCGCCGAAACCGCTTTACCAATCTTGATGATTCTTTTTTTAAATGAAAAGTATATATGTGTAGATTTGTTATGAAGTATTTTTATAGTGCTTAATGGCTATTTCTTTGTATAAAACGACTAAATACTAAAACATACCTGAAAAACACCTACACACAATACCTCCAGAAATAAATTATTTGTCATTGTCAGTGGTGTGTCAGTTAGATTATATATAACGTTTTTAGATATTTTAGAGTGAGTTCATGCCGCCAGCTTTACATACATAAATATTAGCACAAAGGTTCGTTTAAACGACATTAGTGAATTAGCTACACAAAGCGATTTTAGGAAATTCATCCTCTTAGAGAGTAAAATTATCTCGGAACAGTTTATTGTATGAAAATTCCTTACTATTTGGTCTAGAAGAATGAAATCCTACAAAAAGAATTAGAAGAAATTTGTGAAATTCATCAACCAAATGGGTAAAGTTAGTAAAAATTTATATAAAACTTGGTGACCTCTGGATTATACACATAAAAATGGGCACAAAGGTAAAGCGAATTTATGAAATTTATACCCTTAGGGAGTAGAATAGAGAATGAAAGTTTGCTCTACGAAAATGCAATACTATAACATTATAAACCAGACAGTATAAAATGTTATACAAGGGTTTATTTAGTGACATCATAACGAAATATATCTTCCTCAATTATCCTTCAAAGAATAAAAAATAACCTATAAAGAGAGTATTAGCGCTCTTAATAAATAAAAAAAAGACGAAAAATAAAAAACATCTATGCTCACAAGCTCTCTATAAAGAAGTAAAAAATCATTTAAATCAATGCATGAACGATTCGAGGTGTAACGCGAACGTAGTCGCGAGAAAAAGCTAGTAATTTATTAAATTATTTTATTTCACTCATTAATTTTCATTGAAAAGGAATTTTTCCGTGTAGTTTATCAAAATATCACGATGCAAAGCAAAATTATTTGGTAAAATTAAGTTAAATAAAATAAGAGCCGTTTAGCAGTTTAGCAGTACCTAAATAAATAAATATAGAGTATATTATAATTTTCAAAGGCTCATAACAAGGCAAATAAAATAAAAAATAATATATAGAGTGTCCTGTTTAAAAAAAAGAACATAAGTTTGAGTCATTTTTCGAAATAGACAGCACCCAACGAAGAACCACTTTCGTCACTCCCATTCTACCTGAAAAACGAAACACGGGCGGTGGGTAAGTATTCAATAGGTAGAACAAAACAAAATCAGGGTATTCGGTATATACCTGTACATTTAGATGAACAGTCTAATTTTATAAAAGGTATTTCCAACGACCGCATAGTAAATACCGGGTATAATACCAGTAATATCAGAAATACGAGTATATCTACAATATTTCTTATATATATTGTAGATATTATATATTGGTATATTTTTATTCCCGGTATTATACCGGGTATTTACTATGCGATCGTCGGAAACTCCTTTTATTAAAATTAGGATGTTCATCTAAATCTACAGGTATATACATATATACCCAGATTTTATTTATCTACAAATTGGGTACTTACCCACCGCCCATCACCGACCCTTTTCACCTTTTTGATAAGTTATAAGATAATCGAGATACAAAGGTTATCGAAAAATGCAAAAAATTCTACTAATTAGAAAATAAAAAGTAAAAGAAAGAAATAAGAAATAGCTTTGAACTTAGAAGACTAGGATAAATATGTGTGTAGCATATTTAGTTTCATAATAAGTAGAACAATGATGTGAAAACAGCATCTTTATATCTTTACTCATAAACCAGAAACCCCATAAAACACACAAAAATGGGACATCCTGTACATCTAGCAATCGCCAGTCGATATAAAAATAATTCACACACAATAGTCTAAAAAATGGAAGAAAAAAACAATATTGTCTTCATATTTGTGAAAAAATGCATGTCCATATTTATGTAATCGTAGCGGCAAAAATAAAAAAATAGAAATAGTGTGCATGATGCCTTTACAAAAATATCTGAAGAAATGGGGATTGACATCATTAACGTTTAATTAGTATGTCATATTTTATGGTTTCGATATAAATTACATAATAAACTTTATTCTATTGTTGACTCGCCTTGTACATTCATACTGATATACCTTGTACATGATACTGAAATATTCGGATTTATTAAAAAAAAAATATATTATTAAAATTCAATTTTTATTTTTGACACGACGAAGAATTGCAGTTTTATAAAATAAAAATTATGCGCCTTTCGGATTTTTTAAAAATTTTAGAGGTTACTAGATATTTCGTATTAAACATGTAGCTGCTATATTAAAAATATTTTGTGGGGTGTTGTTGCATATTTGACTAATTTCCAAGCATCGAATGGACGAAGGAAGGAAGCGAAGGGACGAAGGAACGCGAGGAAGTAACGCGAGGGAGGTCCCACGCGAGGAAGTAAGGCGAGGAAGGGACGAAGGAGCGAAGTGTGGGTATGGGGCTTAACCCGACAATGACCTTCAACAAGATTTTTAGTTTAAAAACTAAAAAAAAATTGTTTTTTTGATTTTTTCTTTCAAGTCTTAAGAGTCTATTACGGTGCACTGTTCGGGTCGCTATCAGGGGTCGTAATTTCTAAGTTCTTTATTATAGGAGCTACAGATGCCTGACACATTATTGCCGGACCCTGTATACCATATTGAACATAGTGGACTTCCAAAATTAAGGGCAGTAGACTTGCTAAATTGTTTCAACGTAGCTATTTTGCTTATAGTTCATTACTCATATTCCTGGAGATTTAACATTATTTCGAGGGTGGGAATCACACAGCCACATTGTAGTAGTAAAAACTATTTAATTTTTATGTTTTAAGCTAGAAATTCTTATTGTGTAGCGTATTAATAAAAATAATATATAAGGTATAGCAAATATCACTAAAATAACATCAAGTAAGTACAACTGATACCACGTTAAAGAGCCCACTGAGCTCTTTAAATGACTGGCACCGTTATGTCGTATAACATATTCCACCCAGTATACTGCTTCGTCTAAAGGTTCCATTACTCTATCCTTCATTATTCGAGACCTAATTTTTGCATTTTTGTTATATCTGGAATTAGGGATGTACTTATTAATACAGTAAAAGTAAAATTAACTCAATCAAATTTACTTCGGATCTTGTAGAATTATGTCGATAGCTGTTCCCAGGCTTTTACCAGAAAACTGTTGGAAAGGAATTTCAACTGCCATACCAAAACTGGAAAGCTTCTTGAGATTGAGAAATTGATCTGCGTATATTGCTATACCAACTACAGGAACGCCATAATACACTGCTTCTGTGGTACCACCCATGCCACAGTGGGAAATGAACATTATTACATTTGGATGAGCTAAAATAAGTAATAACTTTGAATGTAGTAGACAATGACTTATTATGAATTAGATATTAAAGCTGTACGCACACTGGTGCGATCACGGCCGCGATCACGATCTCCACGCGGCCGCGGCCAAACGTTGCTAAAGGCAAAGCTAAAGAATACATATATGAGCCGTTTCACATTGGCGCGATCGAGTTTTGCAGACGAAGCGGCCTGGCGCAGTGCCTTCTATTAAAAGATCAGCCTATGGGCGAGATTTATGACGTCACGCTAGTTAGATATAACGGATTAATAAATATGTTGTAGAATACATGGAAAACATAATTATTATTCCTCAGATTTTGGTTTGTATTTTAAAAATGATATAGTTTACATGAAATATACATAATATACAGTTAATAACTACAACATATATACCTATTTATAGTAATAAATACTTTGACAAATAAACTATGTAAATAAATAAATGCCTTTATTGTCAAAAAATTTTTCAATTTGTAGACAAAGGTAAACTAACAAACAAAGTAAAAAAAAAAGGTACACAAACCAACAAACAAAAGATAATACAAAACATTATACAAATAATATTGTCAGTCTTATTGTTAAAATAAACATTTATAAATGTTTACAATGTCAAAGAACAAAAAAAATTAAAATAATATTCAAAAAATATTTAGCCAGTTTATAGCAAAATATCAATGACCTCTAAATAAATTAATTTCGATGTCATTAGTAAATATAGCAATAGCAAACATTAGACCAGTGGTTTCAAGATCAAATTCGATTTTCAATTCAAATATAATTCATTTACGGCGTAGAAAGCCTTGTATAGTAAATAAGAGTTCAATGCTTTGCGAAATGAAAAAAATGATGTTATGGATTTGATTTCAAATGGCAGGTGATTGTGCATTTTTTTCGAGTTGTATAATATTGAACTTTTAACTAACTCTCAGCGTGGGGTAGGTAGATAAAGATCTTGCTCCGCGTTCCTGAGTGGATAAGTGTGAGCTGGCCTTTCTTGAGAAGCTGATACATGTTTACTTATTAGGCAAACGGATTCAAATATAAATAAGGAAGGAAGAGTCAATATTTTTAATTCTCTAAAAAAGCTCCGGCAATGAATTCTGCTGTTTAGTCCCAGTGAATATCGAACAGCTCTCTTCTGGAGCTTGAAAATGCGGTCAAATTGAGCCGCACAACACGTACCCCAGAATGGAAGGGCATACCTGAGATGCGACTCAAAAAGTGCATAATAAACAGTTCTAGCCACTGACAAGTTAAGCTCCTTAGAAACAGACCTTAATGCAAAACAGGCAGAGCTCAATTTTTTCGACAAAGCTTCGATATGTATGTCCCATTTCAGAGAATTGTCCACAACAAGCCCAAGAACTTTACAGATTTGACGACGTCAATGGTGGTGTTGTTAAGTACAAAAGGCTGCAACGAGTTTTTATACGACAAAGCTTTAGTTTTAGAAATGTTGAGAGTCAGGAGGTTCGAATCGCACCAAGATTTAATGGTGATTAAGTCATTTGATATAATCCTATGAAGTGCCGTGATGTCCTTGTTGTTCCAAGTGAAGCTAGTGTCATCCGCAAAAAGACATATTTTGCCACTGATGTTTATGTTAGCAATGTCGTTAATAAAAAGAAGAAACAAAATAGGGCCTAGTACTGGGCCTTGTGGTACTCCACATTCTATTGGCTTGCTAGAAGACAACGTGGTATCCACCCTCACAAGTTGACTTCTGTCGCTCAGATACGACTTAAACGATTCGAGAGATGATCCCCTGAACCCACAGTGCTGCAGTTTATTAATTAAGATCTTATGATTTACACAATCGAACGCCTTAGAAAAATCACAGAAAATTGTTGCTGTAGAATGATGGTTGTTTAGGCTGGAGTAAACATTATTAAGCAGGGAAAACATAGCGTCATTTGTGGACTTGTTGCTTCGAAATCCAAATTGATATTCAGTAAGTATTTTGTACTTAAACAGAAAAGCCTTCCAAAAGATACCAGCCTTCTTTTAACCAACCTTTCTATGATCTTAGATAGCGTTGGAAGGAGTGCAATTGGGCGATAGTTAGAAGCTTCATCTTTGTCTCCGCCTTTATGCAGAGGAATGATTATTGCCGTCTTAAGACATTTTGGAAAAATACCATTTTGGAACGACATGTTTATTAAAGTTGTTAGGTGATCAGAGTGCTTTCTGGCAGATTCGAAAACATTTTTAAAGTTAGCCCGTCGGTCCCAGAAGAGGATTTATTTTTGATGGTATTAATTGTACTGCGAAGCTCTTCAAGAACTACGGGTGAAAAAAAGAAACTGTGTAAGTTTACATTATCATTAGAGAGATAAGAAAGTGGATCATGAGGAGGACATATGGTATTAGTTAAGTTTTTCGCTACATTTACAAAGTAATCGTTAAGGTTCTCAGGCGAGGTAGAGATATTGCTAGACGAAGAAGCTTTGTTCCTCAACTCATTCACAATAAACCATGTTTCCTTAGCAACATTACCAGAATTGACTATTCTCCTATTATAATAAAGGTCCTTAGCGGCTCTTATAGTCTTATGATAAATTTTTCTGTATAGTTTTACGTAATTGTGGAAGAAGAGACTGTCTGAGAATTTTTTTAAGTGAGATAATGAACGCATGTTTTTAGAAGATATGCGTAGACCTTTAGTGGTCCAAGGTTTATTATGCTTATTTTTGATAGGCCTAAGAGGAAAGGATTTGAACGCTAGACTGGTTAATGTTTTTTACGAAAATAGAAAATTCGGTGTCGACATCTGAAGAGCTAGTATCCCAGTTGGTTGTTTTACATAAGTGGCTGAACTTTTGAGCATTCTTTTCTGAAAAAATACGGCATAATTTACGAGGGGCATTTTTGATTTTGGACTTTATCGAAAATTCAGTTAAAACTGCTTCATGATCAGAGAGACCCGAGCTAAAAGACGTTGCAGGCGATGGAGTTAGGGTCAAAAGATGACACAACATAGTCTATAGTACTAGAACTGGTATTGGATATTCTGGTAGGTGAGCCTACATGCATGGCCATTCCAAAAGAATCAAAAATGGACTGAAGAAACTCCCTGAGCAGCACATACACTAAGAAAGTCAATATTAAGATCACCACACAAAATTAATTTGCTTTTCAAGGGCAGGGACTCAAGCAAGCTTAGTAGATTATGACAGAATAATTGCACGTCAGAGTCAGGTGTTCTATAAATACAAATAATGTAAAGGTCATAAGCATTATGGTGGACAATGGAAAATTCGAATACTTTTTCAGATAACAAATCATTGTACCTAGTTACCTCGGAAAAGTCGTTGTTTAAAGACATTATCATAGTACCTCCATGAGAAAAATTTGTTCTATCAAATCTGGCTACTGTGGTATAATTTTTAATAAACACAGGCTCATCAAAATTCAACCAGTGCTCAGTTATGGCAATGATATCTGGAAATTCAAGTTCTTCTAGTAAAAGATATAATTCATCTGTTTTATGTCTTAAGGACTGAATATTAATAAGGAATAGACCAAGCTTGCTATCGCTTAATTCTTCAGAGGGTGCTTGATCCTCTGTTCGCGTCAATTCAACTAAAAATTTTTACTCTTATTTGGGGAACCACTGGAATAATATTTGCCATGACTTTCCCTAATTTTTTGAAGTCGTAGAAGGCTCTCCGCAGAAAAGAATGACCTGAAAGCTGAAAGATCTGCATCAACTTCAGTTGAACCAATACCATAGGCGTTGTGGAAGCGGTAGTACAACTTACGCAAGGACTCCAGGTCACTAGGTAGCCCTTCTGATGCAAGCATCAATTTGATGCTGGTACTAGTGTGTCCTTCAAAACACACACTGGATGGTTGGTCGTGAAGATAGGCAAGGAATAGCCTAAGAGATTTCAAAATGGAGGGGTCCCTCAACCTGGCCAACACGTAACGTCCATTTACCGCATCTGAGTCCTGAGACAGCCGTACTATAGGTGGGGTCATCGGGTCCATAACTGCCAAACCATCTCTCTTCGCACTTCCCTGCACAATAATTTCTGGATTTTCCATCGCCAGGGACTTGCAAGCAGCTATAGCCTCCCTGTCAGACCCAATCTTAATAGTTCTTACCTCCCTTGGCATAGTTGCCAGTGGTGGGTCAAGTAGGTGAGGTAGCTTGCGGTTCTCAATGATGTTTATTTTGAGATTTTGAGCAGGTTCAACCGAAGAAGTAAACGAAGCTTGGCTTAAGGATGTTGAGGTTGAATCTATTATGGTTCCCGGCGGCCACATATTTATGTCCTTAAGCTGCACCAAGTGACACCTCTTTTGCACTCCAATTTTGAAATCGGAATGGGAACTGTCCTTATTTTTCAGCATTGGAAAGCATCTGATGAAGTCGGTGGTTCCTAGTTTTTCTTTAACATAGTGCGCAAGTTGATTCGCTGTGTAAGGAGGTGGAATTCTGGACACCACCACATAATTCCAGTCTTCTCTTATGGCGGCCTTAGGAGGTTGCGATGACACTATTTTGGGTGAAACTATTTTTTTTGGCGAATCTATAAAAGCTAAAGTACTATCTAAAGTACTATTTTGGTGATCTATAGGGCCCGTCTGCGTTGAAATGGATTTTTTCCGCTGCATATTATGATCTGTACAGGTCTTATCCCTTGTAACAAGCTTTTCCAATGTGAGCGACATTTGTTTAACGCTCTCCTAAGGTCAGCCATTTCCTTCGCCATTTCTTCCTTAGATGGGTCATGAACTTGGACTTTAACAGACCCATCATGGTTGTCCATTAAAATTGATGATAAATTGAAAGTGTCTTGCTTTATCTCATTTATAGACTTAAATAAGGATTCTTGTGTGGTATCTGATATCCTGGATATGTCATCAATTTTCTTGAGTAAAATTTTCCACTTGGAATCGTGGTCACTCAGCATGTCATACATTTCAGTTATGACTGGAAAAATGTCAATATTTTTTTTTAAACAGAATCCTAGTGCTTCGAT